AAATGGAAAATTCTATGACCTGATAAAAGGAATCTATGAAAACCCCCAGCTGACATCCCACACAAAGGTAAAAGACTGAATGCTTTCTGCCTAAGAGCAGAAGATGACAATGCAGTCCTGTTATACTAAGATGCTGAAAAATTAAAATAATTGATTAAAAGATAATTAGCAAAAATAGTTAAAAGGATAGTTATTAGTAGTATTGTCATTCGGTACTGAGCTCGTTACCCTAGTAACCAAGCACCAACCACATAGTTATAGATTAACTGACCGCATCGTTATGCTGTTCTATATGTGTCACCCCCCCCCAAGTAACCTGTGTGCTATGTCAACCTTTGTTCCCCTTGTAAGAGACACATGATGTGTCAAACACTGTCCCCCTTATGAGAGACAAATGTTCCTGGAATTGGCAGACCAAGGGCTATGAATTGGCTAACCACCCACTGTGAAATGCCTCTGACCTCAAGCAAAGGGGAACAGAGGCCCACCTTGTTTCTGTTTCTCATCACTATGTACTTAATGATCAATGAGCTAATCATAAATGAACTATAAAAATCAGTCAAAATTCTAACTCAGTTACACAGCTTTGCAAATTCTATCTGCACTGTGTTGCTGGGCCAGCTAAAATAAAAGCACCTATTTTAAAAAGACGTCTTGCCCGTTTATCATCTCGGGGGTCTTGCCCTGTTTTTCATCATGGGGCCTTGTTTTTTAGGTGGGTTACAACAGTCCTACTCAATACCACACTTGAGATTGTAACCAGAGCAAGAAAGCAGATATATCCAGGTCTGTTGAGGAAGTGTTTGAGGAAGTTATGAAGATTTCTGATAAAGAAGGCTAACTCTGGACCTGAAAGTATTCTTGAAATCATGTTGAATAATGCTTTGATACTGCTATCCAGCCCCTTTTTAAGGCACTTTTCATCTTTCAAAATTACATCTCAATTAATGGCTAGAAAATACATACTAAGCATTAAATTATTTTAACTTAGTGTTTTGGTCACAGAAATAGATAATTCAGGTTTAATTTCATCTTAGTTATAATGGTACTCACAAAACAAAGGTATCAGCTAGTTCTCCATTTTTATTAAAAAGGTTATCCCTTTTATAGTTTGTGCCTTCTGTGCGCAAAATTTTTTAGTATGCATGTTTATCCCTTTAGAAGTTACAGCATAATAGCTGGGTATGGTGGCCACACACGTAATACCAGTACTTGGGAGACTGAAGCAGGAGGATTGCTGTGAGTTCAAGGCCAGCCTAAGCTACATTGTGAGACCCTGTCTTAAAAAAAAAAAAAAAAAAACTAACAACATGTTAGCATTAGGGATTCCTACTCCCTTTTCTTGCAGGTTTCAAATTCTAACCTGTTAAGAGAATCTGTGGACCAAATTTTAAAGGAACTTTTTGAGTAGTCAGTTCTTACATAGGTATTTGGTAAACAAACTCAGAAAATGATTGATTGCTAGCAATGTCTTAATATTTATCAAACAACTGACCATTTCCTATAGAAAGATAAAAACTAGTCACTACAGCTTGTGCAAAGTTGTACAATAGGTTCGATTCCAAGGTTTGGGTTGGGGTCACAAGGGATTCAGAGCCTGACATAATTGCGAGCTTTATTATGATACAATCACAGGGTGCGTGGCAAGGATCACATCTAATGATCGTGTGCCTTTTGCACATAGTGTTATTTATGATTAAACCAATCAACACAATTTTCAGAAGTGGAACCTTGAAATATATGCACTAGATTTATGCTGAAATAATTCAGTTTTCTTGTTAGTGACAATTCAGGTTTGTCTGTTTGTTTCCTAGGCTAAATATACGATTAGGTAAAATCACAAAAGGCAACCTAGGGACTAGGGATTTAGCTCAGTGTCATAAGCACCTGGCTAGCAAGTTCGAGGTCAGGAGTACCATCCCCAGCACACACACACACAAAGCAATATAGTGGTTAGATTTCCAATTTGCGTTTTATTTTGTGGAATATGTTTTTCATAATCATTTGCTTAAGGAGATTTAAAATTCAAGGCCCTTTTGTCAGAAAAAATAATACATATATCTTACAGTGTTAAAAAAAAAACATTATGGGGGCTGGGGATTTAGCTCAGCGGCATAAGCGCCTGCCTTTCAAGAAGGCAGTCGTGAGTTCAATCCCCGGTACCGATAAAAAGGAAAAAGACAAACAAAACAAAACAAAACAAAAAACCATTATGGGTCTAGCAGATTTCCCTTATGATACAAAATGCACAAACTACAAAAGAAAATTTAAAGCTTTTGGTCTTTTAAAGAATCAGGCAGGGGGAGGGAGGGAGGAAGTCTCTGTAATACATGTCTCAGAAAATACACCTGTCTATAGTTTCTTACAACTCGATAAGGCAACCCAAGTTTTTGTTTTTTTGTTTTGTTTTGGTTTGGTTTTTTGCGACAGGCTCTCACTATGTAGTTCAGACTGGCCTCGAACTTGTGGCAATTCTCCTGTCTCAGCCTCTCAAGTGTTGGGATTACAGGCATGTACCACCACACCCAGCTTCCAGGTTTGCAAAAGAAGGTATTTTTCTCTTGTTGCTGAGACAAAATACCTGGGAGCTAAAGTTAAAGAAGGAAGATTTATTTAGTTCACAGTTTATAGAAGTTTCACTCCACAGTCAGCTGGTTCCAAGATAGAGTGGCACAGGGAGGAGAAATGGTACATGGTGGGCAGAAGGTAGCAAAGAATCAAGGGAACCTTAACAAGATCTTTCGGCCTTGTTTATCTTACCCAGGCTACTTAGGGGAGGTAACACTCACACCCTTAGTCTTGGTGCCCTTGAGCCTAGCAATTGCATCATGAATCAATCCCAGCATCACACATTCTAGATCCAGCCACCTCTGACTGCATGAGATTTTGGGGGGACATCTAGACACAAACCATAACGGTGAGTGAACAATCCGAAAGACATTTTTCCTAAAAAGTAACAGAGAAGATAGACAAGCATATGAAAAGATGCCAACACCATCAGTCACTAGCAAAATGCAAATTATAACCACAATGAGACACTGCCAATGGGAGGTATAAGAAGGACTATGTACCGGTGAAAATGCAAAGGAGCAGGAACTTTCTATGCCAAGGTGGGTGCTTAGCAATGACCACTTTGGCAAACAGGTTTATTAAAAAGTTAAACGTCCTCCCACCATGATCAGACACTCTACTCGTAGGCATCACCCAAGAGAAACACAAGTGTGTGTCTCATAAAGACTCATGCAGAAGGTCTCCAGCAACTGCTTCAACCACAGCTAACACAGACATCGGCCCACATGCCAACTGTTAGACAAATAAACAAGCTCTGGTACAACCACACCAAGAAATACTACTCAGCACTAAAATGAAGGAAAATGTGGCCAAAATCAGGCCAAAAGAACTAGACAAAAACACCCATGTGATTCTGTTTAAAATGTCAGAAAATACAAATAAATCTAAATGAGAGAAAGCAGATTAGTGGCTGCTTGCAGGTAGGGAGGGAATGAAAGGAGAGAAAACTTCTAGGAGTGTAACTTAAAATAAGTGTACAATATACTGGTTTTGACTTTTTGTTTGTTTTAGGGGATTTTTGCAAAAGTCTTGCTATATAGTCCAGGATGGTCTTCAACTCATGGGGATCCTCCTGTCTCTGTCTTCCAAATGCTGGGATTACAGCTGTGTACCACCATGCCCAGCTCTGTGCAATTTATTGTAAATCAATTATACCTTAGGAAAACAGGGAGGAAACCCCTGACAAATCACATAGTACAAGTTGAAATAAAAGAAGATGGGACTAAGAAAATAAAAATATATGAAGACGGGAAGATAACCACTGGATAAAACTAGAAACAAATATTTTTAAATAACGAGACATATTTATACACAAGGAAAACCAGCAACACAGCAACAATTGAGGCACAGCAGTGGTTCCCGGTGTATATCCTGGGGCACCAGTGCTGCTTCTGGGGTCCAGAATTCCAAAGTTATTTTAATATAACAGTAAGATGCTATTTGCCTTTTCAATTCTAATTTCCTCAAGAGTATTTTTTCAAGAGTACTGTCCCACACGTGATATAAATAAACATTAAATGCAGACAAACGGGAATCCGGCTGCATTGTAATAAGCTAAGTATTAAAAAGATTTGCAGGACTGGGGGTGTAGGTAGTGGCGGAGCACTTGCCTAGAATGTTCAATCCCTAGGTTCAATCCTCACAATCCACAAAAAAGAGAAAAAAAAAAAAAAAGATTTGCAAAACTCTACATTAACGTCACAGTTTCCATTCATTTTCTATTTTGAAAGTATTTTCCACTAAAAATTTAGTTTACACTGACATGTAGCAGGTGTCCATTATTTTTAATTTGAAACAACAAATGAACACTATTCAATTCCTGAAAGGACAAACACTGGTAGCTAACACCCATCCAAACAACCTTAGGGACCTCACTGTTCACGTACCAGCAGGGACCTCAACACCAGGTCTCTTGGGTGGGGTGGCCTAGCCTCCTGCCCTGACAGAGGAAAGTGGGAGCCACTCCCCCACCTTTAAAGTGCAGGTGCTGCTAGTCCACAGATCAAACTGGCTCATCAAGCATTTGGTACAGCGCCGAGACCCAGACTCAACCTGCAGATGCGTGGAAATCATCACAGACCTGCATCACCCGACACGTGACCCTCGGGCCTGGACTGTGCGTGCACTTGGTTTCTCTCCTCTCAGTTTTCCACACACTCACTTTTGTCATATTTTACACAAGGGTTGGTCTGTGCCAGCTAGAAAATGTTTAAAGTGGTCCCTCACCATGGAGACATAGCGAAGCACTGAACTAGATGTCTCTCCTTCAACAGTCACTGGGATGACCCCCAAAGCAGAATATGACTACAAACTAGTTCAGCTTCAGTAATGATACTCAACATTTAACCTGACTCCAGCATAAACATCAACATAATTGCCTTCGTGATGGAAAGAGGCAAAAGAAAATGGGTAAAGAAAACCATACACACCCTCTTCCATGAAGAATTTCTCCACAGGTTTCACAAGCTGATTGATTTCATTAAGTTCTTCTTGGCTCACCTCTGGAAATGGGAAAACTCCGTTCTATAAAACATAAATATTTACTCAAAATTACTTTTCCAGTAACCTCCCGTCATGGTAATATCAGTCATTAAGGGAAAGGGGAAGAAATGTGCTAGTTCCACGCCTGGCTGGCAGAACAGGGCCAGTGGCAAACGTTCAAAAATTCAAAATTCAAAAAAACCCCAGGGAGGTTCAGATGAAAACAGGGGGTGTAGGACTGCTTCCTGTCAGCTCCTTCCCTGTGTAGGCCGGCTGCTCATTTCCTCAGCTCATTTCCTTAGCAGTAACAGGTGATGAAGTTGTCCCCCCCCCACACACACAGCCGGGACTCACATTTTAAATGCTTTAGGTCTGTTCCTCGCTTGCTGCCTACTACTTGTAACACTTGACAAATCCCATCACCTTGCTGAGCCTCAGCTCTTACCTGCAGTATGCAGACTGCATTCACTCAAAAGTCCGAGTGAGAATCACGGTGGACAGCGGGTGTGAAAGCACCTGACCAAACGGAAAGCTTTAGGCCATTATCACAGACATGACTGTGAACAGCATACTGCTTTCCAAGCCTCACCCTCTTGCCGCTTCCCCTCCTGTCGCCGACACTGGCCCCTGTGCTGAGTGAGAGTGGGGTCACCACCTAAGTCCCTCTAAATACCAACATCGGCTCTCTGTGCCCGGGACACAAGGGTTGGGCTCACGGGATGAGGCCCAGTCGACTCGGATTTCAGACAGGCAACTCCAAGGCTGCTCTCACCCCCAGTTTCTCTTCTATCACACATGACGCTGTTCACCTCAGGAGGCAGCTGCAACGCTCAACACAGACCTTGCGCCCTGGAACAGGAACTGTCTCTGTATCAGATTCTAGCTCTGCTCCTGCCCACTCTCAGAGCCTGGCAAATGATTTAGTTTCCAGTCTCTGTTTCAAACCAGTGGGTGGCCAATGCCCCTATAGGCCCAGCCTCAGCCACTGTGGCCTTCCAGGCTCCTGTCACCCCTCCAGCTGCCAGTAAGGCAGGATGCTGTAGCCCTGGGCCCACAACTGCTACACAGTGGCGGGTCACAAGCTGCCAGGTCTGATGATCTGCTTGATGACCTCTCACCAAGCATCCCAGGAAGATCAGAGATGTCCCCGACATTCCCTGCAGCCTTCGCACCTCCAGTCAACTGATCTGTTCCCTCTGCCTATTGGAACCCCACCATTAAAGTGGTTGAAAAGAAAAATGTGATGATTCTCATTACGCTGCAGCTTCTTGGGACACAGTGTCCCCTTCACTGAATCCATAAGTGGCTTTACCCACCCCCACACTCGCCTCCCTTCCCTTGCAGACTTGGGCCTTGTGTAACAGGCTGTGAGACAAGCTTGTGCTGGCACTGGTGGGCAGGCAGGAGAAGACAGAGATGGCCTGGCACCTAGCTGGCGTTCAGCCACAACCAAAGGACGACTGCTGCAGTGAGATCCTGGGTGCTCAGAAGGAAGAACTCTGATAACAAGGAACGAAAATTACGTGGGGGCATTTCATGCCTAGTTCAGACACTAAATACTTAAAACAGAGAAATGCTAAATGGTTCTGACTGAGGCTGTTCTGAGGAGGTCCCCCAAACCCCATCCATTCAATCTCCTACTGTTCCCTGCAGTAGCCCCAGGGACACTTCCAGGGACAGCTCAGATCCAGCTGAGGGCAGCATGGCAACCACGGGTCTTGCTCACCCAGAAGGCCTCTCCCTGTTCTGAGAGCCTAAGGATCCCTGCTATATTCCTGCTCAAGATGCAAAAACACTTAGAGTAGCCCGATCCAGGAAGGTCAAGGTAAAGGTGTCTAAAAGGGGTTAGACTCTCAGCATGACCTAGACAGAGAGGGAAACAACAACAAACATTTGCCCTCAGAGCATGAGAACTGTGAGAATAAAAGGGACTTGAAGCTGACTCCAGGAGAATTCCCATTACTAATATAATGAAGGCTGCTGGGAAGAGCAAGACTGAGTGGGACCAGTAGTGAATCTTCTAATCAGAGGAACTTTGAAGACATTCGGTGGAGTTTCTGTGCAGAAAGATAGCCAAAGAATCTAGGAGCCAGGCGTGGGGGTACATGCCATGCCTGTAATCCCAGCAGCTGGGAGGCTAGAACAAGAGGATCTTACATTCAAGGGCAACCTGGTCTACTTAGCAAGGCCCTGACTCAAAAAACAAGTCTCAGCTGGAGAACCCAATCTGAGTCATCAGGACTTAAAGCCAGGGCCCTAAACTAGGCCATCTAGGGAATGATTATAGTACAAAGTCCACAGCCCTAGAAAATACAATTGGCAGACACTGACCAACATCTAAACGTTGAAAAGCCAAAAAAGAACCAGCTCAGGAGAAAAAATGGTTTTTCAGAAGCTAAATGAAGTGTGTCAGGGTGCAATGTTGATTGCATTGCCAGTGTTAAGTCAGGTAAAAGATGACCTCAGAACAGTTTGGAAAACTGACAGTCGCTGAATTCCCGGAAGAGACAGATGGTTCTGACTCCTGACAAATACAGGTTCAACTGTGAGGCAAATGTCCATAGAGCATAGCAGACTTGTAAGTTCCTGCCTCCTTCATCATTGTTCATCTCTCTTTTAATCACGGCTTCCATAGCTTCACTCTGGGCTGATTTCCAATGAAAAACTGCCCTGTAGGACAGGAATAATATAAAAGTGGAAACAGGAATTTGTTCTGGGCTCTTGTGTGGACATTAGTCGGCAATTAATTATTCTTTGGCCTATTATTCCACGAGTCTTATCGGTTCTGTCAGCGATCCCATGTAGTCTCCTGCTTCAGTCCAGCTGAGAAAGGACAGAACTGCCCTGAGGAGGTGAGGAGGCAGGACTCCAATGACTGGTGGGCCTTTGCCAAGAACAGGAAGTTCCCTCACAGTGAAAGAGAACAGAGGGGAAATGGGTGCATATGTAGGTAAGACAAGGAACCACAGGGTGGAAATTCTCACCACTATGGATATGCTCAGTGAAATGGGAAGCAAGGTTGACAGAGGCACTGAGGGAGGGGAAGGCAGTGCCAACACTTAAAGACTGAAGGAGGCATCAAATATTTGGGTTTTTTTTTTTTTTTTTTGTCTTTTTCCTTTTTATCGGTACCAGGGATCGAACTCACGACTGCCTGCTTGCAAGGCAGGCGCTTATGCTGCTGAGCTAAATCTCCAGGCCCGAGATTTGGGTTCTTTTACTCTGGGAAAAATGGTTTCCTACTCCTCTACTTTTTGTTGTTTGGGGGTTTTTGTGGAGTTGTTTGGTTTTTTGTTTGTTTTGTTTTGAGGCAGAGTCTTGCTACATAGTGAGAGTTGCCTGAAACTAACTATAGAACCTGAATTGGCCTCAAATTCATGACTATTCTATTGCCTTGGCTTCCTGAGTGCTGGGATTACAAGCGCACACCTCTACACCCAGAAATTTCCTTCATTTTAAACTCCAAGATCTATATTTTCTAACTGGGCAAACCATTCTCAGTCTGACTCACAGCTTCTGCATCTGTAATGCAGAAGTGGTCATCCAGATAACATAACAGGAATGTTCCAAAGAGAGGCCACAAAATAACTCCAGCCATACAGGAGCAACAGTATTCTGGACAAGGTCAAAGTAGGGCACCTGTAGGAGATGAGCATTGTGCTTATTACTACTTGGTAAAGCACTGAGGCAAAGAAAAGGGCAGCCCTGGCCCAATCTCACAAAACTATAAGCTCAAAATCAGACAGCCAAAATGAAATCCAAGTCCTCTGACTCTCAGAGGATGAGTGCCTTTAGTACACAGCTGCACCTGGCTGAATCCTAGGACTTTTGAAACGGATAGCGTAGATCCAGATTTCTGAGAAATTCCCAACGACAGGGTCAAATGGTAGGGCTTACCTGCAGAAGGAACTCCAGGGGCCCTTTGAAAGGCGCCAGAGAAGAGGTATGGACCAAGAGGAACTACCCCACGTTTCAAAGTCACATCGGCCAGATGGAAAGCATTTTACTAATCCCCAGCCTGAGCTTTCCCAAACTACCCTAAGAAACAGCAACAACGCCCATGCTTTCCCCAGAGGGGGCTTGCGTGGGACTCCAGAGCCCACAGTATAGACCGTCCCGCCCCATCGGGTGTCTGTGGCACTGTTTGGGGACCCTGACAAAACTCTTTTTTTTTTGGTACCAAGAGTCGAACTCACGACTCTTATGTTTACCAGGCAAGCGCTTGAGCCATTGGACTAAATCCTCTCCCTTCAACTCCACTCTTGCCTCAGGACGAAAGGCAGGAACCATAGAGCAAAAGGGTCGCCTGGGTTCGCCTTACCTTCTCAATTTTGCCCAAGCAGAGCTCTTTAGCGAAAGCTCGGCTCTGCGGACTGGTGCGCAGCGGGCGTCGACTTGCCGTGAAGGCCACCAGAGCCCGGCAGGCTCGTGCCGCTGCTGCCCTGCGAAGGAAGAGCCCGTAACCGTTCATGCTAACTGCAATCACTCCAAATCTGGTCACCGACTTGCTCACCTGCTCAGGAATTAGAAGCTCATCTGTGCGCGGATTGATGACGTCACGGTTATGGGGCACTGCGCTTGCGTGGCCACGCCCCTACCCGGAAACCAAGAATGGCTTTCCAGGACTGTGGGTTTCGGTGTTTGGCTGCAATGGCAGCCGAGAGGGTTCTTTTTGTTAAAATTCCAGCCAAACGTTGGCATTCATTTTATCTAGAGGTAGCCCATCTGTTTCTCTTTTACCTGTACCAGGCTATGGTTGTAAGCAAAACAAAGGAGAAATTCACGACTTCACCGGGTTTGGAGGTAGCTGAGTACGGAAGCGTTCTTTGATTTTAGACGCATAGTTGACTTGCGGTAATCATTTCATTTTGCTTCGTAGTTTGTGTTCTGTGTTTCTGGATGAGGAGAGGAAAAGAGATCTTCTGCTAGAGCGAGATCTGCAGAAAACTAAGGCCCCACTCGGCCAGGGAAACATCCAGTTTTTTAAAAGGCAGGAGAGGAAGAGACCCTACCTAGACAGGTTGGCACAGGGGGCACCTCAGCACCCGCACAGCCCAGCCCGCCAGCCCCTGGACAAGAGAGTGAGGCTCTCCAAGGACCTTCAGCCGGTCGCCTCCAGAGGGACCTCGGTGCCTGTTTCCCAATGATGGCATTACCCTCAGCCTAGGGAAATGCTTCTGACTCCCTCCCTGGAGTCTTGGGAGCAGTAGGCAAAACAGTTCATCTGCTGAGAGCTGCCTGTTAGGGAAAACCTCACAGACTTTCTAGGCTGTTTCCCATCAGCTGACGGTGCTTTTGCCAAATCAGATGACAAAGTGCTGCTCCCTTGAAGTCAGTGGCTCTAAGACCATAATGTCACACCTCTGTGCTCTGTGTGCACAGCTTGGTGCTCCTGGTTAGTACAGTTTTCTTTCTGTAACCGTGTTACAGCCCCTGGCAGTTTCCTGCCACCTCTCTCAGCTATGTCCTTCTGCAGTTTCCTGGGCATTTTCATGACCTCTCGAGTTGAACTACTGCCCCAGATTCTCTAGGGACACTTCCTCAGAGACCACAGACTACTACTGACATTGGGTCTCAGCCTTTTATACCCTTTTTGCTAGAGGCCTCAGCTGACCCTTGGACTGGAAGTCTCCAGCTTCTCAACTCAGACTCAGTTTTACCTAAGACAGCCTTGCGCCTGGGGCTTCACCTTGACTTTGAACTGGGCCTTGACCTCCTCTGCTTTGGAATCATTGGGTCTCTGGCTCCACCTCAACTTCTGTCTTTACTGGAGGCCTCAGCTGCCCCAGATCTTTGTTTCTCACTGCTTTCAGTCTGGACCTTTTCAGGATTCACAACTCAGTATTGCTAAGCCCTTTTGAGCCGCCCACAGTACTGCAGGTAATACTCCAGGATCACCTGAGCAAGGCCTTTGTGCGATCCCTTGCAGGAGCACAGAGGCACTGGTGAGAACCCTGCGCTGACCACTGACCAGAGTATAGGAAAGCTGCTTGTACAGAGGAGGAGCTGGCAGTACAAGCACAGCCTCCTGCATCTTGCAGACCTATTCCAGGACTTTCGGAATAGTGTCAGAGGGCATCTGGGTTAGGTCCACTTTTCAAGCTTGATGCAACCAGAACCAGTGTCTTTTGGAGGAGCTGTGGGGTTTGTAGGGCAGCCTCAGCTGTCACAGTACAATCTATGCTACATAAATGGCACTTCCATATGAATGATGTGGCTAAAACAATGGCTGCTTTGACTCTTGTGGCATCTTCAGGAGGAACTATCGTGTTGGTCATGACTGGCCAGGGTTGCAGGATTGGTGGAGGGATCAATAGTGAGTCCCAGTGCCCCTTTACCCTTTCATGTTTGGCACAAGTTTTCATTTGCTTCTCTGAGAGACAGCAGTGGTCCCCAGAGCAACAGTGGCATGACTCAGATTATGCCCCTTTATGGCTACCAAGAAAAAGGCTTCATTTCTCTCCAATTGCAAAATATTTTCAGGTGTCTTTGTCAGTCCCTGTGTCCTTGTTTACCTTGTCTTTCCTGTTAAAGGCTTGGCACTTGATTTCCTTATCAGTAGGCACCTTTTGCATGTTTCGGCATTCACTGGACAACAAGACAGTTGAAAACAATTACCTTTGTGAATTAACACTGTGGGAAAAACAAAAAGTGTAGGGCAAAGGCTGTGTATCAAGTTCGAGCTGCTGCATATTTTGAAACAACTAGTCCAGTCAGTAAAATAATTGTGATAACATGTCAGATCTCATTTACTCTACCTACATGGCTTTCCTGGATAAAACCCTTGAGAAATCCAGTGACTCATTTTCAAAACAAAGACAGGAAACACTTTGAGACATAATTTCTAAGTGTCCTCATAGAGTGTTCCATTACTCTGCCGATTTCTCAGTTGTTTCCTTGTTTCTGTTAAAAAAAAAAAAACAGTATACCATTCTAACTTCAGTAAGAACTAACCCGCAAGAGAAAGCACACAGCTCAGGACCAGGAGTATACCTCAGTGTCACAGTCCCTGCCTGGCTTGTGCAAGTTGAGTTAAATTCCTGGTACAAAAAAAAGCACACAGTGTTTCTCCTATCATAGGCTAAAGAAGACAAGTGGTTAGTATCGGACTTCCATCTCAAACTTGAGTAATAGTCTGAGAAATATGATCTCAGCTATGTTAAACAGTTTATCTCTAACATGAAGTATCCCAGCCAGGTTGGTAGGGCATTCCTGTAATATCAGCAGGCTGAGGCAGAGAGATCACCATGAGTTCAAGGCCAGCCTACGCCTCATGGCGGGACTCTGTCTCAAAAAAGAAATTAAATAAAAAACAGGAGGTGTCCCATATCCAGTGCTTGGAACATCCTCACTGAATATTTCTGAATGTCCTTGGCACAGTCACATCTGTACAGCAACTCACCCACAAGTGAGACTCACTGTAACTTAGCCATGATGTTAGTGTTAGTGACCAGGTATTTGACATTGGTCTCAGACACACTGGCTGAATAGAGAATTACTCCTAGATGCCTTGGTATTTAATCTGAGGCAGAGAATGGAGCGATGCTTGTGCTAGCCAAGGAATACTGAATTTAGCCAACACACCACGAGATGGCAGGCGAGGCTTGGAGCAGAGTCTTATACGCCTCAGCGAGGCCAATCCTGCTTTCCCCCATGATTTCATACTTGTAGCCCAGGTCCCACTGTGCTTTGGAATCAATAGTCCACTCAGTGATGGACCTGGCTTGTCTGGGGCAGAGGTAGGAAGGGGCAAGGAGACAAGGCTGGGACAAGGAGTCGGAAGAAGAAAGATCCAGTCCTAGTCCTTTACTTATCAGTACTGACTCTGAGCCAGGGTATTGCTTCCAGACCTCTGTTACCTGTGACCTGCAGACAGTACTGTGGCACAGTCGATGAATACCCCAACGACCCAGTGTGCACAGTTAAGATACTGTGCCCAGTGCTCCCCCTTCTCTGAGCTGGACACAGAGGACTCCAGTCCCTGAGGGATGGCAGTCAGGAGGGAAGGAACCCGTCTCTGTATCAGCCACCTGAAGCCAGCCGCAGAGTAGGGACACCTGCAATGAACAGTTGCATAAACAGGGAACATGTACTCTATAAGTCACTCACTTTCTGAAGTTTGTTACAGCAACCGTCGTTACCTGAATCAGGCGCGGTATGAATATGGTCACCCTGGCTATAGGTCGATCATATTTACGAGGCAGATAACTAAGCACCAAGCACTCCCTGAGGTAACGAAGCTGGCCCGAAGAGGGTGGGAATGGTGGGTAATGTTTAATGAGCACTTTCTAGGCTGTATTATCTGATTTCATCTTTCAGACAAACCAGCAGATTCTATGGTGTTGCGGTCCACTTTCTGAGCAGCCACACTGCCCTAAGTGGCCGCACCGGGTTCTCGATCCCACCAGCCTGGCTCCTAAAACAGTCTGTTCTCCTTTCCCCCACTCTACCAAGGGATACTGAATTTAGCCAACATACTTCCTGAAGCAGAAGCCAAGATTCAAGCAAAAGAAGACTTTGACACGCAAACACTCTTTCCCTGTTCTCAGCTTCCTTCTTGTAGGGCATGACAGAGACAAGTGTCTCTAATAATACAGAGCCCCAAATGCCTGCTCCCACAGCCCTCTGTGCCAACTCATCTTAAAATGGGTTTTACAGCCTTGGAGGGAGATTCCCATGAAGCAACACACTCACCACTCAGGAGGTTGACTCCAGGGTTCTTTCATCCTTTCTTAAATCACTCCTTATTTCCTTTTTTACCCAACACCCACAACTTAAGGAGGAGATATCTATTTGCTTCATGGATGTGATCCGTGGCCTTGGCTCCAAGGCAGAACCCAGCATGGCAGAGGGGCTGAGAGGAGGAACATTTCAGCCAGGAAGGGAGAGAAGGGAGGAGCCAGGAAGGGGAACACACTTTTCCAGGCCACGCCCCCAGTGACCAAACCCCACTTCCCAACAGCAAGTCAGCAGTAAAGCCCCTCGACTCAACTATCTTCCAAACGCCCCATGCCTATGAGCTAGGAGACCTTCGGGGACTTCAGCCCAAACCATAACAAAGACTGTGCCTCAGTCTGGCTATCACCCTGCTGGCCGCCTCTCAGCCAACGCTCACCAATTGTACCCATCCCGTTCCCACCCTTTCAGCAAGTCACAGTGTCCTCAGCTGTGAGACCATGAAACCAACAGGAAAGGTAGAAGGTCACAAAGATGAAGTAACCAGCATTGAATTCTTCCACTCCATCCACCCGGGATTTTAGCGTCCAGCAATTCAAATGTATGGGGTGGGGGTGGGGCACTCCTTTCAGCTTTTTAGCTTGATCCTAATGAGGACAAATTTTCAAAACCTCCTAATAGCATTACCAACAACACAGACTAGACACCTTTTTCACTTAGGTTTCAAAAGATAAAATAGCCTAAGGCAGTGATGGCAGCCCTTTTAGGAATACAAACAACCTGCTGATACAGTCTTCCAGCCACGACGAGCCCTGGGTCTGCCTCGCTGTCACAATGTGCCATCTCCTGCGCTAGCCTGGAGGGGAGGCCCTAATCTGCCCTCCCTTGCTGCAGATGTTGGGCAGGTGTTCCAGCTGTTTTGCTCTTCTGTATCCTCTATGAAATGGAAAAAGCAGCTGGGCACGGTGGTGCACACCTGTCATCCCAGCACTCAGAAGGCTGAGGCAGGAGGACAGCATCTCAAATTTCTTAGTGATACTCACTGGCAGGGAGGTGGCAGGGAGGTGCCGTGGCAAGGCCTGGTCACCCTGAGGGCTCTTTACAGCTCTTTTCACAGTCAGCAAGGACTCTGGGTTGTGCCCTGTTAGGAAAAGAGGTTGGGGTGCTCAGCTAAAGAACAGGGTGGGGTAACAGAGGCTGTC